AAATTTAGGCTATTGTGAGCAACCTAGTAAAAAATTCTAACCTTATATCAAAACATTTGGGAAAGAGAATAAATACAGATTATGTGTCATTAACAGGTTCAAGTCAACACCGTTCAAAAAGAAAGATAATTTTGAAATGGCAAAGATTCATGTCCTGGAGGAAATGAAGACATTTTCAACTCCGACGTCGGAAGCAGCACCACCACCGGCTCCACAAGAAGATACCCAACTGAAAAGGAAAGGTTTTTGGGCACAGTACATGGAAGCGTTTGGCCAGGAAGAACATACTGGTGATGGAGATCAGGAAAAGTCCTTGGAATCAGAAGTCAACGCTTATTTGAATGAAAAAACTTTTGACCCTAAACAGGGCCAAAAAATCGCCGAGTATTGGTCAGTAAGCTCCCACAAACATCTGCGTAAGTTGGCGTACAAATATTTGTGCATGCCACCTTGCACAACTTTCAGTGAAAGGCTTTTTAGTGTTGCGGGAAACATTTCGGACACAAAACGAAACAGGTTAGATCCTGACAGAGTAAAAATGTTGGTATTTTTGAACCGAAACCTAGAATAAATCATTCTTGTTATGGACGGTTTGAAAAAAAATAGGCCTAACATGGTTATGCATTTTATTTGATTACAAATCAAATCTGTGCTATGATTACAAATATCACTCCTCATTTCATATTTATGTTGTTTACAATTTTTGTATTAATATTTTGCTGTTTGTAATAATTATTAATTATTAAGCTTAAGGGTTTACCGTGTTTACATCTTTCAAATATAACTGTTACTTTTCACTTTTCAGCCAATATTTAAAACTGTAACATTGATTGGTCAGCGTTAATTGTTGTTCTTTTTAATTCTGCTTAATTGGTTATTGATTTGTAAAATTACCGTTTTGCAATAATTAACTTACGCTGCAATTACCAATTCTTAATGTTAATTGTTGCCGCCAATATGTACTTTTCAATTAAGGAATTAAGTCTTCAAATAATTACTGTTTACTTGTGTTTAGGTTTGAACATTGAATCCTTACGTGGTGTTTAAATAAAATATTTCTGTCAATAAAATCTGATTATTCATTTCCTTGACTTTCAATATTTTTAGGTACTGCCACTTACAACTGTTTTGTTTCGATCAATGAATTTATAGCATAAGTACTCGGGACCGAGAACCGAGAACCGATCCAGTGTAAGAACCGAACCGGAACCGAACCGAAAAAAAGTGGAACCGACACATCCCTAGTTAGAATATTGTAGAACATGTAGAACACCTTTTTAGACATCACTTCTTAAATACATTTTTGTTTTGTAAACAATATTTTAGCCTATTAGACCTTACCAGACATAGCAGCCCTATGTAGTGCTGTAGCTTGCCCGGCACGAGTGACAGCATTGATGTTTGCACCAGCTGAGAGTAGCAGACGACACATCTCAGTGTCTCCCCGGCGCACCGCGTAGTGAAGAGCTGTGTATCCTGCGCCATCTCTCTTATCAACTTCGGTACCTTTGTTCAACAGGTCACGGACACGCTGCTTGTCTCCATCCAGTGCTAAAGGATAAGAATAATATTAATCATTTAATTTAGTTTTGTTTGTGAATCAAAAGATGTTTGAGTGATTGGGATACATCTAACGTACAGTTTTGTGCAAACTGAAAAAGCATTTTTAGTACATAACCATAAAATACATCAACGTTTGTATTTGTATAAATTTGTGTAGGCCTATTACTCCTTACTGTTTTTTTCAACGCAACCCAAATAACTACAGCTACTGTGAGACAAGTTTAAACAACAAAACCAGCTCATATGATGGTATCCCTGTTTTTTTTACTTCATAGCCAATTAGCTACTATGCAAGTTATCTATGAGGCTTAGTGTAACAGTATTGATAATTACGTAAATAAGACGAAATATGGTTTTCTTCGCATGATCAAACAGAGCTTGCGAATACGTCTAGTTGAGACTTGTTCGTAATAAATTCCCAATAACACTGGAACTTATAGATAACTATGCAACAATGCGTATCAGCTGATTGGCAATGAAATTAAGAATACAGGGAGCTTGTATTGTTGTTAAACAGTGTCTTATGGTACTTGTAATTTTGGTTGCATAAAAAAACACCCTGTAAATATATTACCACTTTGACTGCTAATAAAATATAATAAAATCATTAAGGCAGACCTTTTATGTCATTTATATTGAATACAATACAGAATACTTATTCAGTAACAAAAACGTATATTATAAACATAAACTCGACAGGAAGTGATGTCATCAGATTGTGAGACACCGGTTACCCTTAAGCACAAAGGATGTTTCCGTCATGAGGCAAGCCGGTGCTGAAGTTGTCGTTCACTAACTCACTCACTAATAACTAATTTAAATCACTCAATTTTTATTTTGTTGCGAGTATAGGTCGCAATTAGCGTGATCGAGAAAATGGCCCACTGCGACCTATACTCGCCATTCGACTGCAATGGTAGATTTTTTTCTTTTAGCGAGTATAGGTCACCATTTTTGATTGTCCGGGAAAATGGCGCTTGGCGACATAAACTCGCCATTCGACCGCAAAGGGTTAACTACTATAGGGCTAGTACAAGGAAAAGCACACACTTTGTCCACTAAACACACGTAAAAATAAGAGTGTGGCTGACAGACTAAAGATCCTGCTAGCGTACAACAGATTGTTCAACGCAAACTGAAAGAATATGTCACAAAATATCACCCTCCAACCAAGCCAACAATGGATTCTTATAGAATGAATGTCGTCGGTGAGGTTGTAGTGTTCACCCACCTGCCGTCCAAATGCCACGTTCGAAATCCAACTCTTCCAAAGTCTGCTGTACCGAGGTAACAGCTTGGGGATGATTACAGCTTGTGTGATCACACATATTTTTACTTGAGTCACTGAAAAAAAAATTAAAATGATAAAAAAAATCCAGACATATGAGAAAGTTATGACAAAGTTATACAAATATGCCCTTTCCACATTCTTTCAACCAAATGAGTAAATTATGAACATAACTTACCCATTTGCGTGTGTGGTTACATTCTTTCAATCTCAGAAAATACATGTGATTTGATTACGTATGTATTTTCTTATGTACAGAAAAAGTCATGAATCCATTAACTATTAATTGATTGTGGTTGTACTCACATTCACAGTATTAAGGATGGACTTATTCAATGTGTTGACAAAGACTTTCCCATTTAATATTTGATGATGTATAAAAACAATTTAGCAAATTAAAAATGGGTCTAGGAAGGTCGGATTGGAACCAGCAGTAGCAAAAGTATATTTTATCACTAGGGCTTGTGGTGGCTCTTTTCGACCCAAGATCAAGTTTCAGGAAATGAGCGAGGCTTTAAAAGCACTTTTTGCCCTTGTTATGAAATGTGTTTTTCATCATTTCATATCGCACCATTATAAATAAATGATAACCTCTCAAAATTACTTCTAACCTAATTTCATTGCTATTGCAAACAAGCAGCTGTTTAGTAAATGGTTTGATTATTTTGTCTATTAAAATTTTTGTGTAGCCTACATTATACATCAATATGTTAAGCTACAGCCAATCAAAACAATCAATCACATTCGATACATGCAATTGCTTACAATTGAAGTTTACAACTAATTGAGGTTAAAATACCCCCGCCGCAGCAAACCTGCCGACTAAGCGAATTTCCATTTGTCTGAATTGATTTTCAGTTAAATATATTTTAATAACATTAGGTTTAACGAGTACCTAGGTTTGCTGCTACAAGGAAACTAATAAAGTGTGTTTTTGAGTAAAATATTGATAGCTTAGTACAAAATAAATAAATTTGCCAAGTTTGATCAAAATATATCCATAAACAAGCAAACTACAACATTTGACAATATTCTCCATAAGAATAACATGGGAATTTTAAATTTACAATTTTTTTAATTTTCTCCATTACTAATAATTGAACAAAAATACTTTTATATACTAAATTATTTGTTTTTTTAAGCTCTTTAAAAAGGTTAAAAGAGAAATCGGGAAATTTTGTGTTTTGAGGGTCAAAAGTGAGAAAAACCAATTTTTACCCCATAAAACCCCCCGTAAAGCCCCGTTCCCATGGTCCGATCGTGCTGGTTCGCGAACTCATTCAAGTTTATCCCGCTTTACACCTTTAAACCAAATTTCATCAAAATCGGACAAAAATTACTCAAGTTATCGCGTTCATGGACGTATATATATATATATAAGTCTATATATATATATATATATATATATATATATACATATATAAAAATTTGAACGAATGGTGTTTTTGGACTCTGGGGACATCAAAATGAAAAAGTAAATCGGTCCCGGGTCTAGGTCTTACCGTGCCACCTACGGTAATAGCTACTTCCCTATAGGGAAATTCGCTAAAAGCTGATTTTTACTTAGTGAGAAAAAAGCTACTTTAGACCTGCAATGCTATTAAAAAGCAGTTTTTTTTTTTTGCAAAAATATGACAAAAAAATTATTATTCTCATTGTGAATATTGTAATTGTGCTTGGAGTAATAAAACTGACAGAATAAGGGTGAGGCTAGTGGGTCTGGCTGGGTGTGTGACCAGTAGTCACTGATTCAGAGAACCTAACCGAGTAGGTGAGCTCTCCCATCCCCCTTAATCATATTCTTTTTTCTGTTGATAAACATTTTTGAAAGGATTAACAGCCTATCATATGTTTCCTACAAAAAAAACGGTAACACACAAACTTACCCAATCAACTAAATTGTACACAAAACAATAGAAAGTCACTTGACACTGAAAGCAACAGTCACTGACACTTAGACACTAGAAAGGTCGATGAAGGGTCCAGACAGCAGATTGCTGCGTTCCCATGGTCGAGGTAAGGATACGGTAGCCAAAGAGATTCTCTAGTGCAGTAATGATGAAGAGGGGAGGATGTTTGAAAGATTGTCCGTCTTGACCGACGCGTCCACCAAATCTCACGAGTTCCCGAGAAGCGACGTCGGATTCAGCTCGAGACAGGCCGAACACTGTGCTCTCCATCCCCTCCACCTTCCCCTTGACTACGACGTGCGGCATGTCTACTGGACTGACGGAGGCTCAGTCACAGGCTCCTGAGCTTGGGGCGACGTAGGAGTGATCTGCACATAGTGTAACTTAATGAAGATTACAAAAATCACAGTAAGGATGTAGTACAGAGCGAAATAGCCTAGAATTCAAGGATTTTGGTGAAAAAAGCGGGTCAGGAAGGAGGTTGTAGATTGGGAAGGAGTCCATTCTGGTACAAGAAACGCATAACTTAACATTGTACATGTTACAATATTTCTCTGTTCCTGGCAGAATTTTCAAACAAGTAAGGTTTGATAAAAATGCAGTATGTGCTAGTGAAATACAGTATTCTATTGTATACAGTGTTAAGTTGAGAGTCTTTGCAAATTGTGAAAAAAATTTACCACTATTTCAATGTGACCCCGGAAGATGTTCACAATGTTTTAACAGTTGGTTTTTTTCATGGGCAAACAGTTTTTTTTAGCGTTTATCCAAGCAAATACAGTACTATGTTGGGTCTAACGCCCTTCTAAATTTGTCTTAAATCCAAACAACAATAAAATGGCACTAAATCAGCTTTTTCCGGTAAAATTTCAAAATAATTCACTTATAATTCCCGGTTTTTCAGTCTGTGGCCCACTGTTGATTTTTCCGTATAATCTTACACTATGGCAATAATTTTTGAATGACATAAAATATTAATAAAAAAGAAAGACTATTAACATGACTTATGACTTAAAATCCGGGTTTACAAAATGCCAATAGGTAAGACAATTGTCAGAGAACAACTGACTGGCAACAAATTTTTGGCTTTGTGTAAACACTTTAGGCCAAATTGCCTTGACAACTGCTCTCATTGCTCTGAAATTCAGTTATCTCTGGGAGTAGACTGAGGACAAAGAGCAGGACAAATGGCCTCTGAAAAATCTGCAATCCCGTAGTGACGATTGGCAAAGGTAACTGTCTCACCAACTGACATTGTGTAAGCCCGGCTTAAAACAAAGTTAGGTACACCAAATGATGAAGATGGTGGTACATTAATATAATGCATAGCCTACAAATGATTTATGACAACACACATAAGGAAGGAGTAAATACAAATAGTACTAAACTGGCAAACATGACCATAAAGCAGCATGTACATGCAAAGTGGTTAGACAAACTGGGACACAGATAACATACAAATATGTGGTGTGAATAATGAAAAAGTTATTACGCATGCAATAAATAAATATGAACCTCGATCTCTTATTCAGTTGAATTAATAGGTCATTAAAAGTTATTACTGTTCTTCATCAAACTCCTAACAATTAGTTTACAACATTTATATCCATAAACAATATTTTAAAACTACATTTCCAAATGCTTCAGAATCCAAACTACTTCTAACAACTACCCTAAAATACATCGTGAGACTTTTACATTTTAATTCATTTTTCTAAACTTAAAATACTGAATTAATATGAGGGAAATTAAAGAGTTATAACATTGATTTAGTTTATAAATGGCATCAAAACAAATTAAAACAATAACAATCCAATAATCAAAAAACTATAAGGATCACCTGTAACTTAAGATCTCCAAAGAGCTTGTGTCCCTTCCAACAGCCTATTTTAATCTGACTATAGTGCTGTTTTTTTTTTTACCCCAACACTTTTTCTTTACTTCTACACCGGTGGCATTTTTACATGAGGCATTACAGTAAGAAGTGTTTAAATACCTTTAGGGAAAGTAGTCCATACCCATATGTGTTGTTAATGTGCCAGTGATCTAACTCGTCCCTCCCTCAACAAAGTCCGAGAAGCTAACCACTAGACTAGCAACACACCCAAAGCTGGCTTTATCCTCAGTCTTGTTGAAATAACCACAACCAATGAAAGAAAAGAAAGAATGATCCTACCAATTGTGAATTGAAGTCTATAATAGTTTCTTATGGTTTATGGGGTCAAACCTATTGAGAAGAGAACCATTGCCAGGAGATCATTGGGGACAATGTTAAAAAAAGGTATGTGTGTGTGGCGTACGGAGTTTGAAGGACATCACATTTGCACGAGGCAGGCTGAGAGTGTCATTCTGTTTTGAATGAGACAGTGGCACGTTGGAAAAATTATGCTTTTGGATTGCAGCGAAACTGTAAGACACTGCTGAACTGATAGAGACCTCTATAAGATTACTGAGGACAATGGTAAAATCTGTTAGTCTAAAATAATCTGATAGTAAAGATAATGGTTCTTATGACAGATTGAAATGAGCTTCTTAATTCCTGACAGCAGCCCAGCCCGTTGGAGACCTTAATTCACTAAGGGTATTTAAGTAGGTATATAGGTCTTTTCAAGCTAAAATAAGTCAAATAAACTGGGCTTCTCCAGGTCTACAGTACTTGACTTTATTTAATTGCACAAACTAACCAGTCAACAGGCAAAAAAACACCCCAAATTAGAACACCGTTAGATTACGTTACGAGGTTAACACATTAAACCAAACCACACTGTTTACCTCAGTTTAATTTTATGGAGGGGGGTGAGACCATAGATTTGACGTTGCGTACAGGCTTTTTGACGATGTCGTTGGGAGCGATTCGAGCGGACAAACTCCTGCGAGTTTGCGAATGCGTTTCTATCAGCTGATCTTGCGGAATCTAAAGCGTGGTTTTCAAGAGTAAAATCTCCAAGTGTTGGTTAACTATTTGTGAAAGCTGACTGTCAAGCAACTACACACGAGATAAAACTGATTAAAAGTTTAAATGTGAAATGAATTATACACATGCGGGAACAAACTTACTGGGAGGGAATGGAAATACTAATAATAGACAAATAATGACAAAATACAATAATTGACAAAACAGTAAAACAGAAAACAGCTTAGTTTTACAGCACTTTAATGATTTTTAAAACATTTGCTTTTAGAAACTGTGCCTAGAAATTGTTAATTCAAAATTTTAAAATAGTACGGTATTATAAAATCAAGACTTTTGATCAAAATTGCAACACAATAAAAGGATTTATGGAAACGTTAATAGGTGTGCATACTGGAAAAAAGAATTTAAAGATCCAAAACCAACATGAATTTATGATCTGAATTAGCTACAAGGGATGAATCCTGTTCAATAATTCATGAATTGCACCCTTAACCAAGTTTTTAAAATGAGTATGATACCTGTAAAGAAAACTTAAATTTAAGTAGTATAATTTACAAAAGTATCACTGTGACTGCATTATTTATACCACGTATGAAACAAAAATAAAATTTGAAATAAAACTGTATTTTATGGTACTAATCGAATTGATTGTATTATTAAATACACATAGATAAATGCATATGTAGTCAGTCAATTGCTTTCACATATTTCCAAAATATTCTGAACACTTGCCTCTTGAGTCTTTAAAATAATTTTTAACATAAAAGATTGCAAATAAATGTTTCTCAGAAATGTGTGAACACAGACCTAGTCAGTTGCAGACTTGTTATCATAAAATATTGTACCAGTCTGAAATTAGCTTGTTTAACCCAGTTCTCTTTCTGAATTGAAAATATTTGCGATAGACATCACAGAAATACTCTTTACAACAACAATTTAAGGATGTAAAACTATGATTGACGATCACCTAAAAACAATATTTATAGACAAACTTGACAAATCACCAAAACAAAAAGGGTTTCATGAGGGACGTTGGGAATATAGGAGTGCTCTGATGCAAAGTAGTTTAGTGTTGTAGTTTTTATGGTAATTGTGGTAATGACTTACCAAAACGTCCCTTCGTAGGGTCCAGACAATCTCGCTCTCACCGGAGCTGCAGACAACGCGATATCCCAGCTCACTCAACAAGTTAATGACTTGGATAGGGTTACCTACGTAACAAAAGTGTGTCTAATCACTTCAGCATTGTAACATTTTATGGAAATGCCCAATTCAACAGAGTGTCCAGCAAGACATTAAAATTAAATTTGTGGACGGTTCCAGGTTTTAGGTTAAACATTTCCATCACGGGTTAAAAAAACTAACTTTTAAGTCGTCTGCCCCCTTCAGTTTAAAAACTGTAAAAGAATCTAAATTAAAAAAAAATAAAACTTTCATACATCTATTACTGATTATAACTTTTTGTTCATTGTCGTTACCTACAATCACCAGAAGAACGAACAATTAATAACGAATAACAAATAATTTATTACTTGTTTTTAGGCTTTAGTGTTGGTCAAATCCAATAGTTTTAAATCTGAAATGGAGTTTTATAAAATACATCAAAATATTGAACCAAAGTTGAATTGTTATTAAATAAATATGAATTTTAGTTAGCACCATTATTTATACTAAATTAAAATTGTTTACACTAAAATGTAAAATGAAAATACCCGTCATAACCGTAGAGTCGTCACTTTTTCCAGCCATCGTAACTTTCTTAGTACAAACAAGACATTTAAAAGACGATCGAATGAATGAATGAATTACTCTTTGACTAATTTGCAATTACTGTTATATCCCAGGAGAATACAAAGTTAACGTAAAATTCACAGATTTTTTCCTTAGCATACAAAATTAACGTTCAATTGGTGGGTTTTGTGGTCGCCTTGATAGCATCAGTAAGAGACCAGATAACTTTTTTTAAACAAACACCTCTTTATAGAACAAAAAATCTAATAACACCAAAGCATCTAAAGCAATAAAAACATATGTTCACACCTTTAATGAGAACTCCGTTGAACACAGGGGTTTGGGAGTTGGGGAATCTTTTGGAAAGTGCGGATATCTCGACTGGCTCGAGACCAAAGACAGAAGAGTCGGAGGAGTGTAGTGATGCCTTCACTGCGATATAATACTGCTCTGACATAATGATTTGGGGATCGCTCCTGCAAATCAAAAATATCTTGAGACAAAGTACGAGTAGTTTGTCGTTTGTAAAAATTACCATTCAATGATTGGCCATTTTCACAGTAGCCTATATATTACATTAATAATGAAGACTTTTGTATAGTTTTGTAATTTTGAAGCCACAGAGAAATGTCTTATACTCCATTCACAAAATGTAGGTGTTTTAAGGGAAGAAATCTATCCCCACCACTTAATCCATCATTTAAAACAACAGCTCAACAGCTGAGATTGCCAAAATGTTTGTCAGCTGCAACATATACACAAAAAAATTGTAGAGGAACTTTCCCTAAAGCTGCCTTTATTTTGAGAACGGACTATAGAGCATACAAATCACAGGTATAAATGTCATACCTTAGTTGGTTAAGTGAAAGAAAGGATCAAGTACAAGATTCTAGGGGTTTTTAAGATAAAAATAATCAAAGCAGTTCCAAACACTTATAAACCACACAGGAGAAATGTAACTGTCCATGGAAAATCGAAAAATTATATTAAAGACATTATAAAAAACTCTTTTTATCATCTGATACAGAATCTGACTAGGAAAATTGCCAGATTAAATTATAACAAGAGTGAACTCCAAAAATAAACTGTGTAACCAATCAAAATATCTGTCACGCACAATAAACGTAACTAGAGGTTGTCCAGTGGTCGAAAAGTCAACCAAAAATATGTAATGTACATTTGTACGGACTTCTCTATTTTCACCCCACGCTGTAAATAAAACATGTGATTGGAATTCCTTTATTTGGTTTTGATTTTCTGTTTATATTTCTGTTATTTTTTCAAATTTCAAATTAATTTTTTGTGCTTATGTTTGAGCTTGTTTTAGTTTATAAAGGGATTCTGCACATCTACAGGAAAATATCTTTCTATCAGTATGCATAGATTTTCCCTAGCTGAGAAAAAAGGTTTTAAAGAAACATAATGGCCTATTAATATATGAAGATAGAACTTGTAAGTCGTAAAGCTAATCTTAAATGAATTCCTCCTTTTTTAAATTAGTGAATTCTCTGAATTTCTCCAAAACAGAAAATTAACACTTATGTACACATAAGTAAGTAGGCAGATTAAAAAACAGCAACAATCTAACAGGTATTAAAAAATAATACCCACAAATCATTAGCAATTCATAAACTAAACAATAAACGTTGCCCGTTATTATTACATTGGTGCATAAGTAATTCTAAATCCTACCTGGAGCTAAACATGATTATCATAATCACAATTTGGACACTCAGTTAAACTAAGCAAGCTTAATTTCACAAACAATTTAAGTTTCAATACATTTTAGTAAATTATTTAAACAGAAGTTTACGATTCAATGAAAAAAAATTCAAAAGAGACATAAATAATTCAAACGAGGCTTGCACAAGGTAGCCTACCTTGGTTCCATGGTCACACTATAACAAATTGATCTGATTTGGTTGCAGTGTTGGGACAGCAGTAGCCATGGTGCTTCCCCCCTCCCACCACCCAAACAACAATGTCAGACATCCATTACCCTCCAAACATTACCTCAATTGGTGTTTACCACATGTCAATTGACCCACTTCATCCCAATTTGGGCTAAGAGTTATGGCTGTTAAAATAAGATTAGTTAGACCTGTTAAAATTAAGAGAGTTGTCTCTGTTTAAAGAATCGATCTATATGTGCTGCTCGAACCTTTAATGACATGGATACACTAAACGGTATAAGGCTGTAGTATGTTTCTGTGTGTACAAAACTATACTAGTTAGTAAAGAATATAAAAGTGAAAAAAGTTTAACAACGGCAAATAATGTTGGCACAGTTTTTCTAGTAGAAATCTAAACTAAGATAAGCGTATAAACTGTATCATTTGAAAATATTAATAAAAAATTTAAATGTCTTCTTAAAATGACACAAGACCAAATATATCTGTGATAGGTACTTACCTACATGTTAAATAAAGGCTTGGGCCTATTATTTATTGTTAGTTAAAAATCTTAAATTTGCAACCAAATTTTACAGTTTTGTATTGTCGAATAGAGTTCAATGAAAACTTGTTAAGGGGATGATTTTAATACGTCGAGTTTTATTTGCCATAAATATTTTACAACTGTAGGTAGGAGTGATGATTCATAAAGATGATTCATATGATGTTGGCAGCGAATATAGAATTTGGAGGGAGGCGTCAAAATGAGGTTAGGTTAAGTAATTTTAAGTAGACGCATTTTATCTCAGTTTTGCTGCTCATATTCAGAGGGGAATTTGAAATGAACACCACTTTTAACCGAGCTCACACTTAATTAAATCATAAAAAAAAATATATCCATTAGATTACTTATTTTTTGCTTCATATTCATTATTCCCACCATTTCCTTATATTTGCCCCTGGTTGGCATAAAAACCTTAAGAAACAATTGATTAATTACATGAAAATATTAGAATAGATTACTGGTTGTCTCTTTCTGAATGGTGAAATCTTTTAAAGTTTGAGTAGATAGCCAAAAGTATTTCAATAATTGAATTGGGGAATAGACTCTGTTAGAATAAGTCATAAAATCAGTTGACTTTAAAGCATTTCAAACCAAAGTATTACTCATGTAAATATTATCGTTTATTAAGCGCTAAAAAATTTACATTTATAATGTAAAATTTAGAGTTTCACAATCCCGTTAACAAAGCTCAAAAGATAGATTATTAAAATGTTCTAATGTTGTTAAGATGTTCTAGATAAATGTGTTGTTAAAATGTTAATGCAGATTATTAATTTTTAACTCCCACTTACTTGCGTATTCTGCGAGCAATAAGAAGTGATGTTTTACTTGCACATGGTTTATTCATGTTGGTTGCACAAAACATCAAGAATGCAATAATGAAAATGATATCAGCCGTTATCTTCTGATCAATAAAGGTAAAGTCATTAACTGACACAATAAAACTGCCAATAAAACAGATAATCTATTAGCTATTATCGCCCATTGTTTTTATAGCCTGGATCATGGGGATTTTGTAGCTACAATGACTTACAATACCCCCGCCGCAGCAAACCTACCGACTAAGCGAATTTCCATTTGTTTGAACAAATTTTTAATTAAATCTATTTAAATAACATTAGATTTAAAGAGTACTTAGGTTTACTGCTACAAGGAAACTAATAAAGTGTTTTTTAGCAAACTATTAATAGATTAGTATTAAATAAATAAATTTGCTAAACAAGCAAACTGCAACATTTTACAAGATTCTCCATAAGAATAACATGGGAATTAAATTTTTTTAATTTTCTTCGTTACCAATAACAGTACAAAAACATTTTGATATACTAAATTGTTTGTTTTATTAAGTTCTTTAAAAAGGTGTAGTAGAGAGAAATTGAAAAATTTTGGCGGTCAAAAATGAGAAAAACCAATTTTTACCCCATAAAACCCACCGTAGTACCCCCTTTCCCATGGTCCGATCATGCTGGTTTGCGACCTCATTTAAGTTTATTCTGCCTTACACCTTTAAACCAAATTTCATCAAATCTGAAAAAAATTACTCGAGTTAAAATAAATCTCAAAATAAATTTCGGACAAAATTTGGTTACTAACAAAAAGTGCACTTTTATGCTATGTATAGGTGTGTAGAGTTTGATTTTCCTGGTGTAACCCATTAAAACGTCTCCAGACTTTTTACTAACCGTGTATATAAAATAGTGTCAAAGGAAGTATTTTATTCATTATATTTCAATTCTATGTAACAAAACAGTAGGCCTACAACTCTAGATAAGAATTTAATTGTTTAAGGTGGTGCAATGATTTTTGGTCATGGTGGAATTTCAAACTTTTTAATAATGTAAGTTGTCAATATAAGGTTTTGAAGCAAACAAATATTTTTTTGGAAATTTTTTTATGGCTACTTTTTTGTTAACAGGTCTTTGAAATAGGCGATTTGGCACTCACTCTTTTGACTTTATCTCAAAAACGGTTTGAGTTAAGAATGTGAAATTTGGGGTATTAATCAATGATATTGTACTACAGGGTCTAAAAGTATTTATGTGTAAAAAAAATGAAAATCAATTTTACGTGCTGCTTTATTTGTAAAATAAAAAATATAAATTATGAGATAATTGAAAAGAAAAATATTTTAGACCAGGAAGTTAAATCTAAGGAATGTATAGGAATTTAATTTATTTTTAAATATTAATATTTGTAGGCTGTAAAGTCAAAAGATATTTCCGCTGTAACGCCCGCACTGCTCAGCCTGCAACCCAGAGCGCTCCGTGCCCCCACCCCTCCTCACTTTCTCCTCCGCTGATGACTCAGCCACGGCGCCGCACCGACCGCACGCTCTCGGCTCGTTGGCGTGTACCCACAGGTTGTGATTGATTGTGTGTGACCCACAGTGTGACACAGGTTATTGTTTGAAATAGTGTAGTGTTGTGTGGTGATAATGTAGCGGTGCTTAGTAGTGCGCTTATGGTAAAGTATACTCAATTCCTCGTTTACTTGTCAGTATAGAGGCATTACGGATGTTTACCCAAATCATTTCCAGTATTTAAAGCAAATTTCCAATTAATTATTAATAATTCTTTTGGAAAACATGCCTATATCTTTATGACGTTTATCCGATATTCGGCCGTCATCGATCGATGGTACCGATAATGTCCAACTGATATTAAAACTCTTTAAGGTAAGATCAATAAACTCCTACTTTCAGAATATGTTAACATTTTGTCCCTATTTGAGTTATTTGGAATTTTTTAACTTAAAAGAAAAGTTATAAACATAATTTAAAAATGAGTTAGCTACATAAATGTAAGTTTAATTTGTTAATAAGTGATTAGAAATAGGCCTTATAATCCCTTATAATTCCTTTCTTTCTTTAAAAACCCGACTAAAAAAAGCTTAAACTTGTGAGTTTTTTTAAAACTCAACTCGACTCAACCTCAAAAATTACTAATCTAATTAAATTACTAATTAAAGATAAATATTACCCTCTACAATTGTTTAAATTAGCAATTTTTTATACAAAATGTACAAATTCCATACCCCCCAAACCCCCCCGGTCTATCCCATCATTCAAAACTATATCCCCCCCGAAATTAAATCCTGGGTACGCCACTGCCTAAGCCGTCAAATTTTTCACGGCTTAGGGAAATTCTGTACTGAAAAGTAAAAGTGGAATAGAGTATATTGTTGTGCAGTGACATAAAACAATACCTTTATAATTAATTGTTTAAAATTATTAATTAAATTTTAAAAATTGAGTGGGCTTATTTGTTTAATCCTTATAATTATAGAGAACTGATACCAGTTTCATTTAATAAAAATGCCTTACAAAGGAAGAATTTATCGAAAACGTGGCAAGCGTTCTAGATCTATGAAACTTTTCATAGCAAGACAAAGGGAAAAAACGTCAAATGCTCCTGATGAAACAAGTGAAGACATTTTTAATAGACTTCTAGAACAAACCAGGTAGGTCTGACAACTTCTGCTCTCATGCATTATAATATACTAGATAATTAACATAATTTTGACCATAGGTGTCATAACCAGTTATAAATTGTTGTTCAACATATTATAATGATAAAGAAGTACTTGTTTTCAATTGATCATTGCTGGATAACCTTTTTGCATTATGCCTATGAGCTCCAATTACTATATCCTATTTTCATAGATGGGAGTTTACTACGTCTAGAACAGGATACTAAACATTTATTGTTCTTAAAGTTTATAAATTGTTTGCAAAAACGGCCAAGCTTATATGTAACGCAAGATCGCTTTTCACACTTGGCCATTTTTGCAAACAATTTAGGATATATTATGCCACGATAATTGGTTGTAAAATGCACTTTTGGTTGTTTTTCGATCTTATGTTGTCAATTGATTATAAACAAATACATTAATTATTCTATATATTAATATATTGAATAATTGATATTGAATTAAAAATTTTAAAATGTGAACAGACGACGCTTAAGTTTTGTAGCAAACCAAGTGCAGCTGAAAAAAAAACCAACAGCTGATATATTGGTGATTGACATTTAAACTCTTTGCTTTATTTATGTTTACAAATAATAACACATTAGGCTATGCTTCAAAAATTTGTAATGCAGCCTACATGTGAGTCCCAACATTACTAAAACAGCTGGTTCCTTCAATATAAAATACCGTACAGATAAAAGAACAGCTGTCCAGCAAAAAATGATACTTGCCATGATATGACAAGGAGGGCCGTAAATGTGCCGTGTGTGTTATAAGGAGGGCCGTGTGTGTTATAAATGTGTTATAATATCACTGAATTATTTGTTTGTGACTTTACTCAAAACTACGGGTGGAAAAATATTTTGGGCTTATGGAAAACCCGTTTGATTTGGCCCTGCTTTAACATTACTGTATAATAGCAATAACATCAAATATTTGGGTACAAACAAATTACTAAAGAAAATATCTTCTCTTTTTTTAGGCATGAAACGCTTGCGGCTCAAGAAACAAATACACAAAGCTCAATGCTCAATGATTCAAATTCAATTTTAGAGCTTGCGGAACTTGAGACGAATGCAATCCCCAACCATAGTCGTAGTTGTCTAAAAGTCAGTAATTCAGATCCGAATTCACCTTTCAAGCTCAATGATGATCTTCAGATGACAGTTGAAGACAGAGATGAAGATGAAATGGTCGTTGACGACCCAGATTATTTCCCCCCTCTAACAGTGGAGAGATCATTTGACACGGAAAAGGTTTTATTAAAGGGAAGAAGAATTGTGGATATTGACCATTTTTCCTCACAAATGGAAATTATTGCATCCCATCCTAATAAATGCACTATGGGGAAATACAAATTAAAGAAAGAAATCTGTAATGGTCTGTACTCAACACTGGTGTACTACTGTGATAATTGCGAAAAAGAGTTTTCCGTAACAACTTCTCCAGCAAGTGATAAGGAAGACATAAACGATGCGTTGGCCTGGGCTGCAATGTCAGTTGGAATAGGATATTCTCAAGTTGAAGAACTCTTTAGTATCCTTGATTTAAAAATAATGGGACAACAAAAGTACCATAAACATGAACAAGCAGTTGGAAAAGTAAGTCTTTGTAAAATTAACACTTATCCTAAAGTTAATCCTACGGTTCATTAACTTGGTCCATTGTGTGGTTAAATTTCATGCAACTTTTTTATATGTACGTATTTATATGAATTTGAAATGAATTGCCCTTTTACATTGTTTCAATTATCAACTTCAGACCACCCCGAACGTTTTTTGAAGTGAACTCTTCATTTTGACATGGTGTTCATTTCATGGTGTTGTGACCCATTAGTTCAAACTACATGTCGAATCCTATTACGATCACGAAAACTGTTTTGAAAATCTCCTTCCAATCTCAAGTTATGGCTAAACGATAAATTATTTTTCACTGTCCCTAAAGCAGCCGTTTTGGTGATTTTTTCGGTGAAATTACCATTTTTATTTTAAATTTCAAAAAGGTGATATCTCAGAAACGAAACAATATAATACAAAAACAATTGCGACGTTGACTTTAGCGTTGAAAATTAGTCTTAAATCACTCAAGTATATTCAAGTAGGCTACGCATAAGTATCTTTTATCGTTGGCTAATTCGTATTTTGTAATTTTTTAGGGGTGGGAAGATTGTTTATTACGAAAAATGCAAGAAAACGCAGAGGAAGAAAGGCGAATAGCTATCGAGAAAGGGGATTATCTGAACGGAATTCCCTTCATCACTGTGATTGGAGATGGAGGATGGGCCAAGAGATCTTATGGGCATGGGATGAATTCTTTAAGTGGAGTGGTAAGTACACTTTAATTGTTATGTTTATGTCGCACTTAAAGATTGCATATTTTTTGGGACAGATGGAGGGGTAAATTTCTAAATCCTACGCGCCAAGCACCGTGGTCTGACCGTGTACCTTGACTCCCCTGACTCCCGCCGACCATGCGGATCGATGGTATAAGGGTCGCCAAATGTGCGACTCGAATCGCTCGTGAAACCCGGATGTTGCGGGCGCTCTGCAGGGCCGCTGCGACCTCGCTGCGTGGTCGCGCGACAGGAGTGACAGGAGTCGCTCGTGTCGAGTCAATAAAGGTTTTATGTCGGAACAAATTAGAGAGAAGAATTAGAGAAATTAGAGTCGGAACAATTAATTAAAAAATTGTGTAAAAGCTACGTTTTAAAACTTTTTAAGAGATGGCTATGCTTTGCCTCACTCTAAAAAGCTTCCATATTGATTTTATCAAGTAAAAACTGCCGAGTGCAATATTGCATCACAGACCTTCATGGTGTAAACTGGTTTTAAAAAGAAAACACGCTTTTTACAGTTCAAAATAAACATTCTCTTCAGCTGATTTTCAGCAGACAGTTTTAGAAGCTTACAATTTTCGCCGCCCGCCTTTTTATTTGGCCGCTACTCTAAGAAATTCAATACTAATGATTTAATAACTCATATAATTTTATTGCAGGGAGTGATTGTTGGCGCAGAAACTCAAAAACTGCTGTATCTGGGCGTCCGGAACAAATTTTGTTTTGCCTGCGCAAATCCCAAGAAAAAGAAAGTGGATCATCTTTGCTTTAAGAACTATAACGGTCCTTCAACGGGGATGGAAACAAGTGTCATAGTAGAGGGGTTCAGAAGAAGCGAGGAAGACTATGGACTAATCTATCGTAACTATATTGGAGACGGTGATTCAAGTGTATTTGCCCGTATTCAGGAAGGGTGTTATTACGGCAGGTATGTGAAAAAAGTGGAATGCGCAAATCATGTTACTCGGGCACTCAACGACAACCTTCACAAATTGTCCGAAGACACTAAATATCCATTGGAAACTCGCAAGCTCCTTAGTAAGCCAGCGCCAAATGAAAGCATATCAAGGCTGGAACGCATGGTAAAAGGTGTCCGAACAGCGATAAAGGAAGCTGGCGTGACAAAAAGTTCGGAAGCGGTAAAAAATTTGCGCCACGATTTGCACAACGCTCCAGATCACGTTTTCGGCAAACATGACAAATGCCGCTCATTTTGCACACGAAAAACAATTGGCGAGGAAAATGTACTGCCCCAGATGGATGTAGACTTTTTGTGCAAAATAAGAGCACTTATTGGAAACCTAGAAAGTAAATGTGACAGCCTGGTTTTTGACCAAACGACAAACGTCGCTGAAAGGTACATGGGCTGCGTGGCAAAGTTTACAGGTGGCAAAAGAATAAACTTTTCAACAGGTGGATCTTTTCGTCAACGATGTTTTGGCGCTGGTCTCGCCCACAGTGCAGGACCAAGCTGGCACTTGAGTCCCTGGAAAAAACTGAAAAACCGCAGTCCAGGGCAGGTATTTAGAAAAAAAATCCTCTCACGGGAAAAAAGAAAAATTAAACGAAAAATGTTATTTTCAGGAAAGAAAAGTATGAAGAGAAAGAGGAATGGGAAAGACGGTTCCTACGACAAAGAATACGGCCCCCTAGCAGTAAAGGCAGATATAGAGGAGGTAGAAATGGTTGCCAAATCTAAAGCATTTCTGCAAAACTTGAGAAATGATATTAAAAATGGAAATGAAGAATGGGAAAGGAAAACTGTTGGGCAACGTAACAATGAGTTATGGTTCGAAAAAAGAATGAACAGACTAACTGCTTCAAAGTTCGGATTTGTGATTAAACGCCTACCGCATACACCTTGCCATAATCTTGTAAAATCCATCCTCTACTCAAGATCATTAACCTCAGAGGCCATAACTTTCGGAAGAGATCACGAAGACATAGCTATCAAACTTTATGAAAACTCAACAAACAACAGCGTAGAGCCTTGTGGATTGTTTATCGACGTGTCCAATCCTTTTCTTGGCGCCAGTCCGGATGGAATAGTTGGTGAAGAAGGCATCGTTGAAGTGAAGTGCTTAGCTTCCGTAAAGGAAGAAACTTTGTCAGAAGCGGTAAAAGCTAAGAAAAACATGTGTCTAGAGTTGTCAAAAGAAGGGGAAATCAAACTAAAGAAGAATCACAATTACTTTTACCAGATTCAAGGCCAGCTCGCAATTACAAGCCGCAACTGGTGCGACTTTATTGTCTACACAAAAAAGGGGGAGATTTTTGTGGAACGAATACAAAAGGACACAACATTTTGGACCAAAAATATGTTGCCGAAGTTGACCAGATTTTACCAGGACTGTTTGCTCCCAGAAATTTTGGATAGCAGAATTGTTAGAGAAATGAAATGTAGAGATCCAGTTTACATCCTAGAAGCACAAAAAAAACTCAAAAATGCAAAACAAGAAAAAGCTAAAAAATCATAGTTTTTAAAATCCGTGGTATCTAATTCAAAATTGGCCCATAAAATGTTCTCAAATTATTAAGAAACACATCAAAAAATGCTAACCAATAACTCTTTTAATTAACTCAATGATAAACATTAACAATTTTCAAACTTAATTAAAGTCTTGTATTTTTGATCATAATTTTTTCAGCTAAGTTTTTACAAAATTTCGCAAATTGGTCCATTTTCGCAAAGGTCGCCACTAATAAATCTTTGTATTAGCTTAGCTCAATGGAGGGTGATAATAATCTTCAGAGTTGAATAAACTCTCTTATTTATTTAGAAACATCATTGTATAATAAAATGTTATTTCCTGAAATATTTCTTATTTCATTTTATTTATATTGACCTTACCTGTAAAGATTGCGTGCAATTATTTTTTTAAGCAGCGTTTACTCTACAAACCAGAAACAATACTTTGTCTGAATATTAATAATTAGAATCCAGATTCACATTTACAGTATCTGCGTTTTATGATAAAACGCAAAAGAATGAAGCTGCATTCCAGAAACTCACACAATTTTATCCTATTTTTATTTCAATATAAATTTGAATGTAATATCATATAATCAAATAAAGCATATTACTGGAATTTTAATTTGTTGAGTGAAATAATGCGATGTTTGACAAAAGCAAGATAAGTAGGTCAGTCCGGTAAATGACCATTGAACTATTATGGTTTGTTACAAATTTTTGGTCGTTGATAAAGTAGAGAGTGCAACGAATGAATTATGTCTTAAAGCCATTTATATTACAATCACTCAGTTCTAAAATAGACCTCTTCCTTTGATTTCGATTAACCGTAGGATATTTAACAATGTAACTTTACCAATGGTAAAAAAATATAGTTAATTATTATTAATATATGAAAAATCCAGTTGTTTCTTTACAAATTACGATCTTACTGTTCTGTACAAAGATCACGATAAAGGTTATCTGGTAAGTGGACATGGCCAGACTCTACCGATGACCACAGCGCAGGTCAGGGGCCAGGACATTGGGATGTACGGCGAACCTAACAGCCACCAGCCGCCGAAACAGAGCAAGCTCGGACGACAGTCGGACAGTCGAGGGTTGGGGCGGTAAGGGGGAGGCAGAGAACCGGGGGAGGGGAAGCGGCCAAATGCGCCCCTCCACTTTGCTGTCGTACGCATCGCTCCGAACGCCGACGGTGCTGCTGCCTGGGCGGATTTTGTTTACTACAGAGCTCACTGCACCACCTTAATGTCATTATTGTATTTACTTATTTTTTATCTTAACACCTGGTGGTTTTAAAAAGATACCTGGGGAAGTAGACGTACACAGCTAGTAAATACTATTTTGTCAAATAAATAGGTTTGCTTACGTGTTTTAATGATAGTAAAAACAATTTTCCAAGAAAAAACTTAGGTCTTACCAAGCAGTAGTAAAGCGACAGGATGAATCAAGCTAACTATAATGTCTAGATAAAGTTCAAAGACAAAACGCTGTTAACAGACAACAAAGATAATGATTATCTATTGCTTCATCTGCTAAATGGTGCAAGACCCATCACTGCTCTAGTGCAAACCATGTTTACCTTTTATGTTTTGCAATGTCTGAGCGATATTAACAGGAAAACAATAATTTGGTCAACTGAAGTCCGATAAGAACAGTTTGAAAAAAAGACAATAAATAATCTGTTATGAGTGGAGTACTTGCTTGTGACTTGGATATGGGTTTTTCAAATTGTAGGAAAATTCAGACATCACTTTATAGCTTTAGACTTCTAATATAATTGCAAGTTGTGGGTTAACATAGACCCTTTTAGCTTACAAAAATCTATAAAATTGAGGATATTAGGCTACGGTATATGTATTGTATTACATTATTAAGAATAGGAGGCTTCAGTCTATGCGTATGTTTGTTCCATGTGAACATAAAAACTATCCAATCTACTGGACTGAAATTTAACACTAAGGTACATCACAAACCCTACCAACTCATATGCCAATTCATTTCCTTACAACCTTGGACTATGACCGATGTACATACAAAGTTACAAAGGGAAGCGTTTCAAAGGTTGGTTACAATGATGACATATTTATATATAGCATTTCAAAGGAAGACCACAATGTTTACATTCATTCTACTTTGCTTGCATTATGGTAAAGTTATCGAAATGTCACACTGCTGATTTCAGATAGACTACACTAATCAAAGATTTTTTAAATGTACAATTTATTCTTTTATGCCTCCGTAGGATGTTCAAGCACAAGAAGTAAAGCTAGTATAGTCATAATCAGTGATATCTTATCTGCAGACTCTTGCACACCCAGTTACACACCTGCATATTTGTGGGTCCTTCACAATGTCAATCAGTAATTTATCCCACCCTTTTTAAGAAATGTGAGGATTATTCAACAAATGTCAATGGCCAATGTCGTAAACTTTTTTAAGTTGCTATACAAATACAAGTATAACCGCGACATACAATAAAGCAAATGTTCCTCTAAGTGAAAGATGAGTAATGAATGAACGAGATGACATCTTTACTGACTAAGATCAGCTGGTTCATTAGCCAGGACCATTTATTAAAAGACAATGATGGACGGCTAGGTACAGGTTTGAACCGATAAAAAGATTTGGACTTCTCTGACGATCTAAACAGCAAACAGCAGTCATCAGGTGGCATGCAAAGTCATATGTAATAAGTGAGCTCTCATAAACCGGTTTTGAAGCAATTTGGTTGGATACAACTCCTGGAGAGGAAAAGTCTCAAATAATTTATATGGTTGTAGAATTGAAACTCAGGCAAGTCAAATAATAGACCCTTTACAAGCATTACTAGGTGAGACAACTTGACTACATAGGGATAAATCTACTAAAAGGGAGTATGTTTTATCCATGGTGTTACTAACTATTATTTCCTATTTTTATTCATGACTATCTTTACTTACTTGGTTACTTGGTAACTAAAGGAGGCTCAGGCTCACTAAAGTCTTTACGCATCGTCCACATATACTCGTTGTAATCTTGCTTTACCGCAGTAGAAGATGAAGCAACCACCTACAAATAATACTGCTGTTAGCTGGCGACAAAACCTTACATATTAGCATTTTTAAGTGTTGTGAACTGAAATAGTTTTTAACATGTTCCAATAGTTAGTTTGGATAAGATGACAATTTAATTCAATTCAATTCAATTCAAATTCAATTCAAATTATCTTTATTCATCAAGTAATTGTAGTAATCAACCATCGATTCTTCCAAATGTTCTTTATATTATAAAACAAATTCCAGTAACTTCCAATAAGTGAGTTGAACAAACTACAGCACAAACTCACAAATCTGTCACCTACAAGACCGGCATCATGGTCAGAAGAGTGAAAAGGTTGAATATGAGGAGCAGCATGTTTAGGATTTTGCCGTGATAACGGAAGATGATGATAATGGTACCGTGATCGCAAGAGACGTGCAATATTTTGCCGCAATTTTTGAAGATTATAAAGTTTTTGTGATCACGCAAGATGATTATGATTTCTCTAATTAAATATTTTACCGCCATCCCAGTAGACAATGATAATTTTTTCCATGACTGCGGGGTTTGTTTAGGATTTTTTTGTGATCACGGTAAACAATGATCGCACTGTTAGTATCAGATGTTGGGGAGTGAGCTGGCGTAGTGGTTAGAGCACGGGACTTCAGTCCCTGAGGTCCCGGGTTCGATCCCCGCCAAGTCACTAATTAATTTTATCTAAGTGATAATGCCGCAACCCCTAGGTCTAGCCTGAAGTAATGTGAAAACAATCCCAGGCTCGTGCCTAGCGTCCTATTACAACAACAAAATATCAGACGTTACCTAGTATCTCACTGTTAGTATCCATTGCCGCAGGGATGCCCTAATTTTTGCCATGATCAAGGAAGACGATTATGATGTTTTTATTACTGCAGAAGATATCCAGAGTTTATCTGCGGTCGCGGATGACTATGGTAATGTTCCGTAACCTCGAGAGACATTCAATATTCTGCCATGACCACTGAAGACAATGATTATGTTTCTATTACTGTCGAGTATATTCAGAGTGTTGCTGTAATAGTAGAAAATGTTTCTGTGCTGACGGGGGTTAAAAATATCTTTGCCCCAAGTGCGGGACACGTTGGATGTCCACAGGACCATGGGAAATGGTCACAATATTACCGTAATAACATTGTAACCGATAGAGGTGGCATTGTCAGATTAAGCAAGGAGTCAGACTAGATGAGTTTGGATTAGGTTATACTTATTTTAAAAATAACTCCCTTAGATAAGTTAGATAATCTCAAATTTCTAACTGTATAAACCAGGTTTATACTTCTTGGAAATCACATTTTAAATTAAATGGGTTCTGGTGGTAACTTAATGTATTTTCATGGAACATCACTCTATACATAAATTTAGAACTTATTTAGACGGCTTACACACACACTAAAACCAAGGTGGTTCACGAACTCGAACGTACTATACTTTTTCAATAAAAATCTACCTTCCACAGACTTGACTTACCTGGTAACCGAGGACTTCAAGGGCAGTAAGAATAACACAGGGGTGTTGGAGGTAGACGATCGTTGACTCGTCACAGTAACCTCCGCAAGCAAACCTCTTCAACTGTTCTATGTCCTCAGCTGTAGGAAACAGACATTCACAAACAACTCAGAAGTTAATTGAGTAATAAATAATTTCTTGTGGTTGTATATATATAGATGGATATAAAATCAAATGTTTGTTCGTAATAGCCATTTAAGGTTATGAAAGCCTATGAGAATAATATTTTACAGTTTTCTAAGCTAGACCCTTGGAAATTTTATATTTGACTCTTACACAAAATTCATATTTCCAGTAAGCCTATATAGGTCTACTGGATCACTAAGTTAATAGGTACCGATATCATTGAAAGAGACATAAGTTATTTAAGTTATAAAGAAAACAGGATGTGTTTTGGTTTTTTCCATCACAGATTCTGAAAGAGCAACAAAAATGGACTCTGGCTATTGTTGCATCAATACTTAAAATCAAATAAGAACCTCTTCCTAGGAAATTTACTACAGTAATAAGATTTTATACTTTCTGTTGAATTTAAAATGTATTTCCTATTTAATTTCTTTAAGTGGTAGCAATAATGTTCCAACCCAAAAAGCATTCCTAGAAATTAGAATACTCATTACACTCTCCTCAACTATTAAACTTGGTTTATAGAAATTGTATTATAACTAAACTAAATACTTAAGCAAATAAAATATAATAAAAACCAGAGTAGCCTATGTTATACCCAATAAGTAATTGGAACAATGCTGTTGGAATATACAAGGCTATTTATAAAACGTTGCAAAACTTCCCTCTGTTATTCCAGGTACACATTCATGTTTATGTTAGTGATTAAATTTAGCATTCTCCAAACAGTTATAAAATTCTCACTTCCACCATCAAATGTGTTAAAATACTAAGAAAATGGGTATTAGGCCTATGTATCGCTATTGTTTTGTATGTGTATCTCTGACGAGGTCTATTGTAATCAATGATTATTTAACGACCAATAAAATACTTGATTACCGTACTTGATTATACTCTTACTCCTTTAACATTTAATATCTTCAATAACATTGAGGTGGTTTTAGATTTAGAAGCAATTTTTTTTTTAGTACCTAATATTTTTTAATATGACATTAGAGTTTTAGGAAAAAGGTTTAAACCTAATCATCAATAGTAGAAAAAATGTGTTAGCCTACCCAATATGGAATACACCTCCTTTTTATCATAGGCTATTGTAAAAGCTCGATTAACAGGGTAAAAGAAAAGGGAGTATTTTTTAACCACGAATAACTTGACCACAGCCGATCTCACTTGATTAAAATATTCCCTTTTGAACACATTTTAAGAGGTTAAAAAAAGATTTTTTACCATGCAGTATAAAAATAATGTATTTTTTTATTCAAGAAAACTGAATGAAAAGTGCACATCTATAAATAAGTATTTATCACAAAATCTGGCTAACCGTCATTACCATGTAAAAATTAAATTAGGGTAAGTGACTTTATAGCCTACTTAAGTTTCTGGCAAGTGTTTGAAGAAGGCTGAACATATTAGTTGTGACAATGCACGAAGGATAACAAGAATAAAACACAAGAACCTCACATTGAGTTTAATTCCTCATTTAGAAGTAGGCCTACAAATAAGTAACTTACCTGTACCCTATATTTTGTTATCACTTGACATCGTTAATTTGGTATTATACCGACCACACCGATAAATCAACTTCCAAATAAGATTTTAATTAGTTTAAATAACAGAATCTTCCTAACCAAACCAAAAACATAGTCCACCCTTAGGTTCTAGGTTAGGAATTATTAGGTGTAGTCGTCATAATACCAAAGTACCCTGATATCTTTGAAAGAATGCATTTTGGTCATATAACCCTTCGGCTGCCTTCTAACTTACTTTAAATGTGAGTTAAAACAAGATAGGTTCAAAGGTTGGTAAAAATAGGTCCGAGTTTAACTATTACATTAGCATGTATAGCCTATATTTATTTTCAAAACAAATTTGTTCGAAATTAAATAAAATACTTACGATAATTATCCTAACCTTAACAAAATTTAAAACAAAGGAGTTGGGGCCGCTAATAAATTCTTAACTAAACTTAAATATTAATTAGGCCTGGACTTTCTGGACAAGCTTAAGAATGTAATTTAATATTAGGCATACAGATTAGTACGGTATGGTTAAATTAGCCTACACTAACCATTAGCCGGATTCCCTTAACCAAAATGAAAAATCAGGACGAGATATAAAAATAAGGGGGCATTAGCCTCACCTTTTAATCCAGACACCAATACTCTCCACGGATATCGGTTATCATAAGAGGCCAAATTCCCTCGGACAATAATATAGGGCATCGAAAAGAAGGATGATGTCTGAAAATCGCATAACACTTTTTTAACTTAATAATAAACAAGCACAACTTATTTTACTTAGGCTTACTAGAATATTGTTTAATATATTTTAGACTGACACAGGGCTAGCCTCCAAACTTGCTGTACCATTTCAAAATTCCGTTTGATAGGCTCTAACAGAAAAGGCATAGGCCTAGGGGGAATATCAAACGGAATTTTGAAATGTTATAGCAAGTTTGGTTAAGTTAGTTAGCTTAGGATAGTTTAGAACAGTTCAATTTCAATATAAGTTAACTTAACATATTTTTTAACTGTTTGTTGATAGTGAAATATATATATATATATAACTTATTTATCGTAGTTGTCAGCTGATAAGTTATGTTTAAATTTATTAATATAGATAGATTAATATAGGACTACTTATGATAAGTTAATGTTGGGCATTGAGTGAGCACGGGTAACTTACGGTTTCTTAACTGGGCTACGCTACTATCTATTGAAAATATCGATTTGATTAGGGGCCTAGTAGCCTAAACCTTCATTCTATTTTTTGGTAGCCTAATACAGTAAGTTACTAAACTTATACTAACTTACTTATGTTATAGCATATAGCATTATTTCTTAACTGGACTATGCTAATATCAATTAAAAGTATTGCTTAATAGGCCTAATCAATATTTTTACTATATCAATTGTAAAATTAAACTGACATAACAAAACCTAACTAACCAAACTTACTGATAGTGAAAAAATTAAATAAAGGTTTACTAATAGAATCGATAGGCCTAGTAACCTAGCATAGCCCAAATAAGATACTGTACCCTTGAGGACATCAAACACAGGAAAGTGATCCTAACTGTTCAAATTTATATGCCTAAATTAATAGTAGTGATGCGCGATTGCTAGATGTTTGAACAATCGAAATGTTCTTTCTCGAGATGTTCCGCTTATCGATTGTTTCGATTACTTAGCAAGGGTTTGTACAATCGAGATGTTTCTCTCGATTGTTGCATTCGTTAAGCCTAAACGTCTGTTCGCATCACTCACTGTCTACATTTTATGAGAGTTGTTACGAGGATATTAGGTCTAGTTCTTTTTCTAGATTCTTATAGAATAGTAGACTATTATGCACAACATATATA